TCATACATGATGTTATCTCTATTACCTTACACTTAGAGAAAAGGCAGCCACTCTCCATCAGTGGTCATTCTTAGCTTTTCCCCCAAAAAATCATTCTGTTAAGTAAGTCATTACTGTTGCAAATATAGTCATGTGCCAGAGAAGGACATTCTGGTCAACTATGGACCACATACACAATGATGATCCCAAGATTATAATGGAGCTGAAAAATTCCTATCACCTAGTGATACAGAAGCCATCATAAAATCACAGTGCAGTTAATTTCTGGTAAGACTAGTGTAACCTAAGTATACAGTGTTTATAAAGTCTACAGTAATGTACAGTAAATGTCCTAGGCCTTCAGCAGTGGGGCAGCAACCTGCAGACTAACCAGCGAGGGCTTGTCTAGCTTGATGATGAGTCTGAAGATCAGTGTCAGTACAACAGAAAAGTCTTTTCCAGTTTTCTTCTTTTTGCCCAGCTAGGGAAAATACAACCTAAATACCCTTTTTTTGACCAAGAAGAAGTAAAATGTACAAAGTCAAAACAGTGCCACTAACAGCTGAGTTTTGACAGCTTGGAACTGTAATCCTTTCAGCCAGACTTCTCTTTGCCTCAAATAAAAAGTGCTTTTGTAAGCTTGAAAAAAAAAATTTTTAATCCTTTGGCATAAAATAAGGTTGTGCCCTAACTCCCATTTTTTTAACAAGTATGTTAATGATGTGTGATCAATTGAGAAAGACATATGCTCTTCCTAAAGAAAACAGAAAAATAAGTATTCTTTTAAAAACTAATATATTTTATTACCTTAAACTAGAAATGGCTTGAGTAGACAACTGGAATGCTAGTTAATTATATCCAGAAAGGATTAAGACCAACTATTCCTAAACTTAAGTTTTGTTTCTGTAACTACCAATCTCACAAAATAAATTATCACACCTGATTACCCTGGCGTACCTACTACAAATGGTTTATCTTGAAGGGTACATGAGAAAAAAGCATTGCTCAAAACTAGCAGCATTGCTCAAAGTTTCAAAGGAAACTTTGGCTTAAACTATATACTTACTCAGCCCACCATATTTAGGAAGGAGTCCTCATTATGTTCCTTGAGTTTCATAATGGACTATTACCCTACCACAGATCAACCTTTATTCTTCATTTTTCTTTTGCTCCTACTTTTAAGATCAACTGTCTCAACATATGTTCTCAACTCACCTTGCAACACAAAATAGCTGCACTCTGATAATTCTTAGATAGTGTAATTTTGAACTCATTGCTACCTACTACTATTAAAAATTGAGTTAAATAAAAAAAAATTGAGTTAAGAGATACAATATTTAGAGAGAACTGCTCAAAGGTCACATAGGCCATCCATTCTCTAGACATTCTAAAATCTAGCCCTTGGTCAAGTAACAGAAACAGTAACCTGAGTACCTGAGCCACACTGTAGTGACTACCTAAGAACTGTTCATACTTTTACTGAATTGTACCTTGGTATGATAACAACAGTCCACACTGAAGACTGGTAAAAGAAAAGTCCCAAGAAACCAAGGCTGCCAGAATATTGTCTAGGAAGCTGTAACAGTATCCAAGAGTATCTGCACTTCAGAGCACAAGTATGTTTTCTCTCTCACCCAGTGTCAATGACTAGAGAGTTCAGAGCCAATCTCACAGCCTATAAAGACAAGTATCAAATTACCATTGCTCTGCTTTCCCTGACTCCATTTTATATCATCCCCACCTTTACTTTTCTTTTCCTTCCACTTTTAACTTCTGCTTTACTGTTTTGTGATAATATATATGTATAAATAGTTTTAAATTCTTTTTAGAATGAAGCAGGGGAACACTGGAATAAAAAGACCAAGACAGTTTCCTAGGACCCTTTTAGGATCCTTTGTAGGCTCCAGATCCACTTAACACTCTGGATAGAATTCTGTATTTGATCATTAAAGGTTCAGGATGAACTAAAGCCAAGTGGTATAATCCATAAGAATTTAATTACATAGACTTGATCTTGGTCAGGTGACAAGGAGTTGGCGAATTTTTTGATTAAGACTACTGCTATGTAGTTGAGCTGATGGCTTCTGATGTTTCTAAGAGGTTATGTACAAGGCACATGATTAAAAGATTGTTACTAAAACTGCAACCACTCAGTAAATTTTACTTGGTATACATTTCCTTCCTGATGCAAAAAACTTTTTGGAGATAAATCTGACTCAATGATTAAAAGATGAGCAGTAAAGGATAATTTGTTATTTTTTTATAAACAACCAAGTTGCTGCTTCCTTAGGAAGGAAAAAGGTGAGGGAAGAAGAATTTTGACCAAGTACATGGCATCTCCGGGACTTGAAAACGGCTTAAAAAAAATAAAGAAAATATTTCCCTAACGATAGATACCACATACTGAATGGAGCTTGGAAGCTGAGAATTATCTAAGGGCTTACTAACAGGGGCAGAGGTTCAAGAAGTAGCTTTTTAAAAAATCTGAAAGAAATATATTGACAAGGCAGCAGTTGTTAATACCATGATAAGTTACTGGAAAGCAGGACTGTCATATGTAGAGAGGTAATCAAAGAGTTATCCTTCTGGGTTTACTCTCATTGGTGTTAAAATCCTGGTCATGCTTCTGCTTAGTAGAGATCATGCAGCTCAAAATCCAGGTAAAGGAGGGAGTCCAGATGACCAGCATGCATAAATACAGTGTTCTGAAAACTGAAGAGAAAAAGGATATCCCACGAGAGCCTTGGATCATAGAAAGGAAGAGAATAGTAACTCCATTTGAAACTCAGGCAACTAAATTTTCCTCCCAGTCTTACTAAAATTCCAGCATTGTAAGGGTTCCTACTATCTACAGAAGTGGAAACACTGTGGAGACCAATGTAAGTAGAAGGAAGAACATGAGCTTGTCCTAAGTAGTTTGCAATAACAACAAAGTTAAAAGGCCTTCCCTAGACAGAACAACACCAAGAGTCACTGTGGATCAGGATTTCTCAACCTTGGCACTATTGACATTTGCAGCCAGATAATTCTTTGTTGTGGGAGGCTCTCTTGTGCCTTGTAAGATGTTGAGCAGCATCCCTGGCCTCTACCCTCTAGAAAGCAATAGCATCACATCCTTGCCAGTTGTGACAACCAAAATGAGTTTGCAGACATTACCAAATGTCACCACGGAGGCAAAATCACCCCCACTGAACACCACTGCTATGGATGAAACAAATAACAAACAGCTGCTAGGGTTAACCCACTCTCTTTGCAAATAACATTGTCAAACCACCTCACTTTCTGAACCAGGAAACAAGGAGAAAGGATCAGAAGAATTTGTAGGAAAAATGACAAGTTTAATTTTGGATATGTCAAGATGGGCGATACCAAATGGAGACATCTAAAAGGCAGTTGGATATATGGCACTGGAACCAAGAAAAGAGGTCTTGGCTAGAGAAATAGACCAGAAAAGCATTAGCTACATTAATATCTCTGAGGAAGATTTCTGCAAATCTTCAGCCAAAATAAAATCCTCTTAAGAGATGATGATTATTACTCTACGCAAGCTCTACCTAGTGCCTAATTAAACAAGAAGCCCTTGATGGATTTAGTCTACTGCAGGGGAATGCACTCATGCACAATTTTTACCTTCATATGGACAAACCTGCCATATGTTAAGGTCTTCAGAGTAAACTCTCACATATCTTTACTAATTGATACACTGCAATAATTTTCCCATTTGGCATATGTTCCCTCTTTTGACTCTTTGTTCCCAAATCCATTGTTCCATATTCTACCTGTTCTGAATAGATATTTGTTCTCTACTGCTGCAGATACACAATTAGTAAAAGAAGATGCAATTCTCAACATTAAGAATTACAGGCAGTGAGTTTTGCAACATTATCATTAAAGAAATTCTATACTAGAAGGCTCAGAGACTTCAAACAGATTACTTTTCTTCAACAGAAATCTCTCTAACAATTTGAATATACCTCAGAGCATATTTTCCCGAATGTCTGTTTTTGACTGAGAAAATTTACTTAAATGTAATTTTCCAAGAAATTATAAGACATTTCTACATATGCATAAGTTCACTTGTTAAAAACCTATTCAAAATGTTTTATGGAAAAATAGCAATGAAGAACAATTTTCCTAACTTAAGACATATAATCTGGTTAACAAAACATAGCCAAAGCAAAATAAATCTAAATAATTAAATAGGAATACTTGGCATATATTATGCTTAGTTTAAACCAGTTTCCTTGTGTAAAATCTTCCCCCAGTGTGTGTTCTTTAATTTTTTCAACTAGCTTAAGAAATTTTTAATAAGTGAAGGTAAGTTGAAAAAAAATTTTAGAACAGTCATTTAAAATATCAATCAAACGAAACTCTTCCCCCAGTGTGTGTTCTTTAATTTTTTCAACTAGCTTAAGAAATTTTTAATAAGTGAAGGTAAGTTGAAAAAAAATTTTAAAACAGTCATTTAAAATATCAATCAAACGAAACAAAAATATGAACCAATTCACAGAATTTTCACCCAGCTCACCTCCACAGTTATATCATACCAACAGACTAGCATATATTCAATGAGGACAGGTATAAAAGGATGGAAACATTTCCTTTTAAAGATAATAAAATATTACAGAGAGACATAAAGCCACACACATTCCAAAGAGGAAAATTAAGGTTAGCATTTTTCTGACTACAAACTAAATATTCAATAAGCAGATTTTTAGGACCCATTTTTGTTTACATATAATAGTTATTAAAAATAAAAGGATATCATTAAATAAAAATATCAGTAAACATCTACTTTTCTTTGTATGCTCCTTAGGCTAAACTTATAAAGTCAGACATAATTTTTATTGAAGGAAATTATTATCCCTCTCCCCCATAATCCCATCCTTTCCTTACAGATATGCAAATTATGTCAACTTGACATGTATTTCCCAATGAATCTTTTCATTTAAAATTACAACATAGCTAGAGAAGCAAGAAGGAAAAGTAGTGAAGTGTGTTTAAAAATTATTCTTCCTTACCAATATGTTGTTGTACAGTCCAAGAGGAGTTTGAAGCACGAATAGAGAGCATCTTTTCAACAGTTGGTGGAAGTCTCTTCCAATTAGTAAACTCCAAAGTGAAGATAAGGGTTTCACTGCTGACTGAGTCAATCCTATATATTAGTAAGACATTAATATGTCATTAGATACAATATATGCCAAGGGTTCATCCTGGAAACAAAACACCACATACCTGTTCTTACAAAATCTTAGTGAGGAAGGTAGACAAAACTGGGGCACAGAAAGTATGTGACTGAACGCATGTTCATTCATAACAATGGATATGAATAATCATCTACAGGTTCCCATTAACTGAATTGACTCTGTGTGTAGCTGTCCAAAAGATGACACAAGGAATTTCTACTCTCAGAGAGAGTAGGAACTTTCCTTCCTAGGGGAGACAGCATCAATAAATATTACCAGTGGATCTGCCATTATCTCCTCCCACTTGGACCATCTTGCCAAATGCAGATTGGCCATCCTTACAGACATATAATTTAATAATCCTAAAGGCAAACACCCCAAGCTATTCCTAAACTGAGAGTGCAAGAGAGATGGCTTGCTTCTGCCCAGCTCCCAGGGATGTACAGCTGTTCTCCTCTAAGAAACTTCCCCATTATAGATTCAGCCCCAAAGGATTTACCAGAATAAAATTCATCTTTAAGGACGGAAAGACAGGGTTCCAGACAAATAGTTCTTCCTCCATTCCTTCAAAATAATGTCATATTCCCTACCAACCCACCCAACCCACCCAAGAGGCTAACCCAGATTTCACAAGCACTTGAATTCTAATGGAGAGAGCTCTGGTTTAAGAAAAATCCTGTTAGCAAATACTACCTTGACTACAAACATGTTGCCCGAATTCTGTAAACCCCAGCCCCTGCTCTCTAAAATGAGAGTAATATTTAATACATAATCTGCCCATTGCAGGGGACTATTTGTAAAAATAATATAGCAATACAGTAAACATACTTTTAATACCATAAAATGTTATATAAATAATTGATATTACTAGTACTGATTTGAAAACTAAACAGTATTACATTTTAAGGAGGTATCAAAACATCATACACATAAAAGTTAGTCAAAGTTTAAAGAGAACTCTAAATCCAAACAAGATTACTCACCCCATACTCAATTAGATACCCCCCTACCATCACAATGTTTGAAGAAAAATAAAATTATTAGGGCCTCCAGTAATTACTACAAAAACAAAAATTTTTCTCATGGTCACCTTTTTGGAGATATTACTGAGCAACAAGTAAAGGAGGAAAAGACATAGAAGGAAAAGAAATAAACTGAATAATACTCATCATCTCAAAGACAACTTATTTCTGGTAATTCAAAGTATCCTTGAAATGACTGATTACAGATACGAAAATCATTTCCCAAATTCTTAATTCTCCAATATGCAAACATACAAGGAAGAACTTAAAGTGTAGCACAAATGCCTCAGTTAAACATTTTACTTCCCAGTCAGCTCTCAGTGAAATCACAGCTTACAGAAAATACTGAGAATAAATGAAATGATAAAGTATATTCAAAGATAAACAATCTCCTTGACTTTCTAGGAGTCCCACACCAAAGGTTACTTGGTTCTGGTTCATTATTTCTTTTTTAATGGTTTCACTTTTCTGCCTTAATGTGCTTTAGGTCTTACTATGACCAAACAAAAAGTCATTTTTATGAGGTTATCTGAACATACACATGAGAAATAAATCTGTTTGCACAGCTTTAGTTAATATAATGGTGAGTTTATTTTACCAACACTGATAACACCACTAAAAATGTATTCTTACTATATTACATTGACCATTACATTGTACAGAACAGTTGTACAATCATAAACGAGTGACAGTTAATCAACTAAATGCACAGATGACATTTATGTTCTATTATTCTCCCATTACACGGGGCCGGGGGGAGCAGGAGAGGACATAATCTTGCATTTAAAGTTGAAAAATATTTCAACTTTTGTGGATTATACTGTGACAGGCAATTACTCAACCAGATACATTTTTAAAACTAAGACAAGCAATACCTAGGAAAGACATTTATAATTTATATGACAAAGATTAAGCAACAGACTTACATGTGATATAAATAAGAAACAACCAAAATTCACTTTAACAACGTATTAGACTTTTTATAGGAGAATTTTTCTTATAACAGCTCTTTGAATGTAAATTGGATCAAAGAAGGCAAAACATTTACCATATTCAGTGTAAACACTGGCTTTACCCATTCAATAAAAGATTAGTGAACAAAAATTTGACCATGTTAAGCATTTTCACTGTAAAGTAAAAATTTCCATGATATTTTTTCTAATGAATATAAAGTGAATGAAATTACCCCTTAGGAGTAAAATATATGCAATTGGCATTCTCAATTCAGAAAGCTGGAAGTTTTACAACTTACTTCAAAATAATTTGTAGTTTACTAGTTCTTAACTCTTTTCTATTCCAACATATCCAATAAATACAGCACACATACAGTGCCTTATTACCATAAAAATTCTCAACTATTTACACCTAGAGGGGCTGGGGAGCTGTATCAGATCTGAGAAAAGGAGGGTATATTTTACAAAGTCTTCTAAGAGAATAAAGCTAAATAAATCCCACTTCCTACCAGTAGTCTATTTAGTGGCTGGGGAGGAAAGAAAAGAGGCAATGTTTAATATTGTTTTTCCTGTTTAGGATTTTCCTAATGTAAGAGCAGGAAAAAGCAAGAAAAGTTGGCACAAATCCCTCAAGTCAGGCAAGGGATTAAAGTACCTGAAATTAAATGATACAACTACAATTGGCCCTCTGTATCTACAGATTCAATCAACAGTGGATCAAAAATATTAAAAAATAATAATAATACAAATTTTAAAATACAGTGTAATAACAATTTACATAGCATTTATAGTGCATTAGTTATTATAAGTAATCTAGAGATTATTTCAAATATAGAAGAGGACATATGTAGGTTATATGGAAATAATATGTCATTTTCCATAAGGGATTTGAGCACCCTTGAATTTTGATATCTGAGGCAGGGTCAGACTCAAGGCACAATTCACCTCAAATTCCTTCTGAGATGGTATAGGGACAGGACTCGGGCCTCACTTCTGACCAAGGGAGGCAACATGAGGCTGCATGACCCTAATTAACTATAGAAGGGCAAAAAACAAATGACCTCCTAGCTGCTGGAATTCAGCCTATACCCATATAAGGAGGGGGCCAAATTGTCTGTCTCTTGAGTAATGTTTTCCAGGACCACTAAAACAAGATGCTAACACTAGCTGATAAGGAACCTGGCTATACAAAAATCAGACCTAACCACCTCAAGCCAAAAGGGACCCCTACACTGACCTTATCCTGAATTTTCCCTCATTATAATCTAATTTTAATGCTAAAAATCCCAGCCAGGAATGGAGATTTAACATGCTAATGAGACATGGAACACACGAATAAGCACATAACAGAACTACACAGGCGCAAGAAAAATTTCCACCTCTACATGCTTACATGTCACCCTTTCCCACCTAAGCCTCTTTAAAACTCTCCCCCAACACTCCTTGGGGAGTCATCCTTAGGATTTTTCCTTTGTGTTGCTTCCCTTATGTTCCCCAATAAAGCCTTGCCTGTGACTCCCATTTGGCCTCTTGTTAATTTCTATTACATACAGAGCCCAAGAGCCTTTGATGGTAACACTTCCAGCTCTGAGCCTGTGAAATCAAAGAAGTTATCTACTTCCAAAATTAAATGGTGGGACTGGCATGAGACAGACATTCTCACTCCAAAAGGGTGACATACGCAATAAACAAGGAATAACAGGCCCCAAGTAAGTCCAAAACCCGACAGGGAAAACAACATTGCATCTTGAGGCTCCAGAAAAATCTTCCCTGACTCCAGTCTATCCAGTTTCTTGGATAGACTAGAGTGGAGATTGGGCCCCCACTGCCTGCCTCCAGCAGCCCCATCCCTATGGCTTTGCTGGGCTCAGCCCAGCCTCTCCCAGGCTGGCGTTGCATGCTGGTAGCTCTACAGCTCTGGGTTATGGTTCTGCTCCCATGACTCCAGCAGGCATTGCCCTAGTGGGGACTCTCTGTGGCAGCTCCAACCCCACATTTCTACCTAGCACTGCTCTAGCAGGGGCTCTGTGGTGGCTCCACCCCTATGAGAAGTCTCTGCCTGAGCCCCCAAGCTGTTTTCGATATCCTTTGACATCTAGGTGGAGGAAGCCATGCCCTCACAGCTCTGGCACTCCAACATGCCTGCAGAATTAATGCCACATGGATACTGCCAAGGCTTCTGGCTTGTGCCCGCTGGAGCAGCAGCATGTGCTGCATCTGGGCCCAGTTGTGCCACAGCATGGTGCCACCTGGTCTATGGCTTGTATCTTTCAGAGCAGCAGGTAAAGCCACACCTGTGGCCACCTTAGCCACAGCTGAAACTGCCCAGGAACACAGCACTGGGATGCAGGGAGCATACGGACCAAGGTAGAGACGTGGGTAGAGAGCCCATGGAGGACACCCTGGGTTCATTCCCCAAAACCATTCTACTCTCCTAGAGCTCTGGGCCTGTGATGGCATGAGTAGTCTCAAAGATCTTTGAAATGCCTTCAGCATCAGGGTTTTTCTATTGTCTTAATCATCCCTTCTATTCATCTCATAAAAATCCTCTTTTATTCACCACATAACCAGGCTGAGAAACTTTCCAAATTTTTCCTCTCAGCTTCCCCTCTGGTTATAAATTCTGTCTTAAGTCATTCCTTTGCTCCCACATCTCACTGTAAGTGGCCAAAAGCAGCCATACAGCAGCCAGGTAGTTCTACTTAGATATTTCTTCCTCCAGACATTCTAATTTATCACTCTTAAATTCAACCTTCCATAAAGCCCTCAGTCACAGACAAAGTTCGGCCAAGTTCTTTGCTAATTCATAACAATTACCCCAGCTTCCAATAAGATACTCTTCATTTTCATCTGAGACTTCATTAGAGTGGCCTTTACTGCCCACATTCCTATCAACAATTTGGTCACAACCACTTAAGTAACGTCTAAGGAGATTCAGACTTTCCCACTCTTCTCATCTTATGATCACTCACCAGAATGACCCTTAATGCTCTGTTTACGATAATACAGACTTTTCCTAGACTGCTTCTCCAAACTTTTCTAGCCTCTACTCATTACCCAGTTCCAAAGCCATTTCCGCATTTTCAGGTAATCATTGTTATCAACCCCACTTCTCAGTACCAATTTTCTGTCTTAGTCTGAAAGACTGTTATAACTGAATACCTGAGACTGAGTAATTAATAAAGAAAAAAATTTATCTCTAAAAGTTCTGGAGGCTGGGTAATCCGAAGTCAAGGGGCCTGTCTAGTGAGGACCTTCTTGCTGTCATAAAATGGCAGAATGGGCATCACATTTTTTGAGAGTGCAAAAACATGCCAGCTCAGGTCCCTCTTCCTCTTCTTATAAAGCCACCAGTGTCATCATTAGGGCCCCATCCTGATGACCTTATTTAATCCTAATTACCTCCCAAAGGCCCCACCTCCAAATATCATAATATATGAACTTTGAGATTAAGTTTCTAACACATGAAATTTGGGGGATACATTCAAACCACAGCGATAGGTGTTGGGCAGTTTTCTCAGTTTGGTTAAAGCAATAAATGAATTAGAAAAAAGAAAGGAGCATGAAGGCTTAAAGTACTAAGCAAGTCACATGGAGTCCAAGTCAATAGTTTCAGTAGAGGAACACAAGAAGCAGGGTTGAGAAGAAAGTGAGTGCCGTGGGGACAGGCACCACATGGAGTGAAAGGTAAAGCACAGAAAAATACTTCTAGATGTTTTATGGATATTCTATAAAATAACATGTTCTCCATATTTCTAGAGATTTTCATTTTATTTTCCCATTTGACTTTAATTATCAGGCCAACAGAAGCCTCTCACTACTACAATTGCCTGTCTCAGGACAATAACAATTTTTGCAGACTGGAAGCTGGCAGAAACAGTCGTCTTCTTGCCCAAGAAAAATCCCAACTCAACATTCATATAATCTCTTGCAGAGGGCTGTCCTTCTGAGAAACTACCCGCAATAAACAAACTATATTCTCAAATATTTCAGAAATCAGTTAAATCAATTAAGGAAGACAAATTTCAAATAGACAAGGGCAGGAGTATTCAAGCTGGTTGGCTGAGGAACAGATAACAGAAATCTCCAAAGCAGCTACAACCATTCTTTCTTCTATCACAGGCATTTTAAGAGGAGCATGAGGGATGGCCAAAAGTAGACTACCCCTCTCAGAAGAGTTTAATGGCATCGATCCCCTCCTACCTCCCTTCAGTCACCTCTTACCTTTTTCTAGGCCTCTGTGCTTAAACTCAACCTCACTATTAGCAGCCCCCAACTCCTTGACCCCAACCCAGTCATCACAGTCAAAACACACACACACACACACACACACACACACACACACACACACACACACAGAGATACGCCCTCGTCTCAACACAGGGATCTCAAGAAATTGGGGGAAATGAAAGATAGTGTATTCACTTAAAAAGGGTAAAGCCCACTATGATAGGATTTCTTACCAACAACTGCATAGTAGAGTCAGTGGGTCAAATCCAGCAACCAGGAGATGTGGCAACCACTCCTTATATTTTGTTTGTGCTTTAATTGCATGATTCATAAATTCAGATATATAGTTCCATGATGTCAATGGGCAACCTTTCTTCAAAAAGTAGCGAAATACTGAAAATTTCTCATACTTCAGGCAGCATGCCAAATGAAGTTCATTTAGCTGGGCTCCATATTTCAAAAGAATATTCACGATTCCAAAGAACTCGCAGCTCCATCACAAAAAAATAAAAATTAAAAAAAAAGTTAGACTTTTACATAAAATACTCTTACAAACTGTTAACAGCAGTTACAGCTGGGGAATAAGAATGGCAGATGGAATACTGGATGGTTTTTACACATCTAGTGGACTGAGATAAGGGCTGCAGTCCCCAACTCCCAGGCCGCAGACCCGTACCAATCTACCACCTGGTCCCCAACAGGCCTTAGAGCTCTGCTGCCCTCAACCTTCGCCCCCTGTGTGTGGAAAACATTGTCTTCCATGAGGGAAGCTTCATCTGTATTTATAGCCACTCCCCATCACTCACATCACCACCTGAGCTCCGCCTCCACACTCCCACCCCTTCCATGGAAAAATTGTCTTCCATGAAACTGGTCCCCGGTGCCAAAAAGGTTAGGGACCATTGGATTAGGGGACAGGAGAGGGGAACTTTTACTTTTTACACCTTTCTGCATGGTTTTAAATTTTCAACTGTGAATATCCTTATAATTTAAAATATTC